ACTGGACGCTCACTGAATGCAAACGGGCCATCAATTCATGTGTAACGATATGAATTATTTGTTGAAGTCAGCTCTTATATAGCTTACAGTCATCGCTTTTTCCTTCTAAGAACGAAAATCGCTGAAGCGCAATGGATATACAATGAGTTAAAATAGAAGTAGGGCCAAATTAGAAGTACTGAACTTTAGAAGGCGCGTTTGGCTCTTCAAAACAAATCTTTGGGAATTTGGACGTTGACTTTTTCTTTGACAGTAGCTTCAAAATATTTGAACATTAATGATTAGATTGTCAGGGATTTCGGATGTATGCTTGCTTCTTCACAGCTAATCTCTCTTTGGCTCATTCTTTCCTTTTTGCCGTTGGTAATATTTGGTTATTTTGCAGCTTTTATGCGTTATCACCAAATCTGCCTTAAGTTTTGTCCTCTTATTTCTAGGACGTGCGTGAAGACATTTTCCGTATTAAAAACCGACTCCATTCCGTGAAAAATCGTCTTGATAAGCCAAAGCCATGTTTACTGACAAACGACGGGGTTCAACTAAATACCTGGACCATTAAGTCAAGCTACCTGGTCGTAGAATTTCTGATTTACGCAGATCAGCGACAAAAATATTGTTAAAGTCATGGTCCCAGCTAGAATTGACAAACTCGCACAAAAATCTCACTTACTTAATGCACTAAGTTCGTTAAGCTTTTTTTCACTGGCGAAAAAAGTCAATCTATCCCATGTGAAATATAATAGACGTCATATACCATCGTGGATTGACAGTTAAATTGTGTTTTAATATTAATAAGCGAGTCAGTTTTGTCACTTGCCACTGTAATTCCGGAGGTGTTGCTTAGTTGAGGACTTGTATTGAAACTCACATTTGTGAGGTGACCGTAGACATGTAAGTTTTCAATAATTATCAGTAAAAGTACTTTTTAAGTACGTTTTACATATTTTTCGAATTGCCTCCCAAGGTACCAAGCAATTATGAGTGGCAATCCTTAAAATCCGATCATAACTGAAATAGATGAAAGGGGCGTCTTTAATTCTAGCTAGTCTCTCACGTATTCCACGGTTGTTGCTTTTCGCTCTCTCTATTATCTATGACTTTGTTTAGTACTAGTACTATTAGCATCAAGGCAGCATGTTCACTTGATCAGTCAGTCAGTTTGTAATTCAAGCGGTCAGTTGTCTTTTTTTTCTTTATCTGTTTGTCTTGTTGCGGTATTCAAAGAGTAGTTTTTATATTACCTGATGTAATGTAAAAACGAATTGTTGAAGAAAATATTTAACAAATGAATGAATCATTTAGAATCTGGTCTGCCGTAAAGTATGCCGGAAGTGTCCAGAGCAAGGAAAAAGGGTCTAGACCTGATCGGGTGTCAAATTACTCCCTCAGTTTTGCTCTCCAGAGTGCGCCATTAACTTTTAACATATTTTAGCAATGATAACAAATTGGAAGAACTTTGTGAGCCAAACATCTTTCCCTGGGATCGTATAAAATGATGCTAAACTTCACATTTTCCATCACCCAAGTTTTGGAATTTACGAGTTAGATCTCTCCCAGATTCCACATCAGACTTCGCTCCATCGCGTGTCATTGCCTTGTAAACAACCTGTATTTAATCACGTATTCTAACCGCATCGTCCAACCCCACTGGGAAAAAAATTCAAATGGAACCAAATGCTACTGATAGTAAATTTTCCACGCAATTCTCCCGTGTTTTGACTTTTTCTACGAATATAATTCGGTTTTAGCTACCTTGGACTTGACCCAATCGCGTGTTAATTCCTTGTTATTAACCTGCATTTTATCACATGTCGCACATAGAGGGCGAAGTCCAGATAGGCAACAACCAATCAAGGATCCTTCTTTGTAATATTGTCCTTTCTTCTTGTTCAATGTATCTTGACCTATTCGAGATCGCAATATATCTTTGGTTAGGGTCTAATACAGTTAAAACAGAGTTTCAGTTTGCTTTTCGTTGTAAAAATACGTGGAATTTTATTTCTGAGGCAACTAACTGTTGACGAATAATTTTGATTTTCACTCTGTTGTAGGAACGGCAGCAAGCGTTGTCCCTTTCGCAACCGTTTTTGGTCTGTAATTGAGTGTTAACATCTGGGTTGAAAACGTAAATTAGTCACCGTAAAAAAGCTGACGCAATCCAATCGCTCTGACGAAGGGCTAATGCTCGAAACGTCAGCTTTTTTACCCTTTACGGTGGCTAATTTACGTTTTCAACCCAATTGTTAACACTTAATTACCTGCTATACTCTCCCACCGACACAGAACCACAGTTTCTTTAGAAACTTACCCCTTCATTCGTTTTTTTGTCTCTCTCCGACGGGGAATAGATAGCGTCAAGACCAAACAATTCACAGCGTCCACAGTCACAGAAGTTTCCTTTTGGAAATGTCAAAAACACTTCCGTCCTTTAATGATTTAGTTTAAACGAAAACCGTCCATTTTTCATGATTTTAAATGAAAACTTATATAGGCATAGATTTAACAATGTCTGATTTTAAGCAAATTGTAGTAGTTCTTGAGATAATTAATTATAACTTTTTGCCATTGATGATGCGTAACTTTCTCTTTTCGGTGAATTTCTGATACTCAAAGGCGTACACGATCTTAAAGCAACTTGATGGAGATAACCAAAGGTAGATGTTTAAAGACCGTCACAAACATTTAAAAGTGCGTTGAGTTTCATTTCTCGAACCACGGCCTTTAAACCAAGTAAGTTTTAGGTGTTTTTCACGTCCTGTTGTGCTCCACCAGGCTAGCTGATACAGCTTTCACAGCTTTAAAGATCAGGATAATTGACCACTTGACATTGGTACGAGAGCGTTTTTCGAAATGCCACAGGAGTCTAAAGCTGCTTTTGTTTATTTGAAAAGGGCACATCATAACTCGCGCTCTCTTTTTTCTTTTTCTTTTTACATACATGTAATTGACTGTTTCTAGATTACCGTTTGGTTCACTATGAAAAGAGTAGTAAGAGTTAGTCAGAGTAAGCCTTTCACAATCATCAATATACTGAAGTCCTCGACATGTGTCTAAATGAATGCTTCATTTGCTGTATATGATTAACTACGCATTAGTAAGCTTAAGGTTTCATGTTATTCGATCATTTTTGCTTAAGCCGAAATCTTTTCATTTTCATTTTTACCTCTAAAGAAATACATCCTATTTTTAACTTCGTAGAACACAATTTTGGCCATTTCTATCCTGATTTAAAGTTGGCTAACTGACACATGCCTGATTGTTTGCAACCGGCTATGCCGCATTGCTTGCCAATTTCACGCGTAAGAAGTTAGCTTGCTAAGTATTTTCCATTTTAACGTAAAGCTCAGCACCTGCCTCACGTTTTCTGATGATTGATTATACAGAAGATAATTGAGTCAATCGGATATCATACTTTTGTGGCTTTGGGCTTAACTTTTAATTCTTTTATGTAACAAAATTGCCAACAGGAAACACATGTTGTCTGAAAACTCCTTCTTAGTGGCGTTTGGTTGATACGGTTTTTAAAATCAGACGAGAATTTAACAACATTTTTAACATGGAATTTAACATGGTACAAACAGGTCTTTAAAGATTTTCTTCACTATTGTTTTGCTTCATATTCTTTTCAATACAACCATGATTGAAAAATCATACTCAACAGAAATAAGAAATTTAACTAAGTTGATAAGGAAGTCATGTCACGTCAATACATTGATGCATAATCTTGTGTCGCCATTAACAATCAGTGAAGTGACTCTAAACAAAAGGTTACACTGATGTAACGCAACTAATGTTAACACTTTCTGATAAAACTTGTATATATTAACAAAGAAAAAGGTCAGTGGGACGGGTTACGCGGAACAACTAATATTTAATGTGATAGAGTGAAGTATAATAACAGGGAAATACTGAACGATTGTTAAAAGGAAACTTAATATGAAAAGAGAAATAAAAAACAAGGTTATACTAAATTGTATTAGCACAAGATCTCCCACTCGAAGTTTGGAGAGGTTATTTTTTCACACTGGCCAAAATCTTATGTAGGAAAAACTGTTTGTTTGGACTTCAAGTTCCTGAATTTTGAGACGATTGGCTATTTTACAATGATGCCACATCACGACTGAATCAAATACTTTTGTTCAACTTCTGCGAAGCTCAACTGATTTCTAATGAAAGAGAAAAAGGAAAAAAAAGGAAGAATGTTTTCCTATTAATACATATAATACATATAAAGAAAAGGGCGACACCAGAGGGCAACAACCCTCATAATGAAGAGATAGATCAGGCTTTAGGAAGGTCTTAATCAGCTAAATAAAAGAAAAAATCCTTGAATCCTGTCACAAGTTAAACATTAAGTGAACCCGGATGACAAATGTGCTTCATAAAACGGTGACTGTGCGAATTGTTTGCTCTTAAATATACAGATCTGTCACATCACGAAGTTCCTCCAGAAACACAAAGTGAGTTCAACTAATTTATTCACCTTTTATAAAAGGTTCTCAAGTTGCTCTTAAATCCCTTCCTTTCTATATCACATTTGTAAATGTTCAATTATCCGAGAACGTTCAATCAAGACCGAAACTACTGGTGACGAGTATTGGTTCTGTTTTTAAAAAGAAAAGATTGATGAGGTGGAGGCTGGCTGATAAAAAATTACACAAACATGTGTCGAGTTGTAAACGGAAAGAAGCAGTTTAAAGTTTACTGCGATAGCAGAGACACTTTTGACCAAAACACAGTGGGCATCAAATAATTTTCAAGTAGTAACAAAGTCGTACTAGTAGAAAAATAAGATCAGCGCCTTCGTTTATTGTTTGTTTCTCAGGGATTTCAAAATAGTAATAAAATGGTGACTAGATTGCGTAATAAAATGCAAATGACAAATTAGATTTTAATAAAAATCTTTTATTCGTTGCACACTTAAGAAATTAGATTCATCGAAAGATTCATTAATATCATTGACAAAAGAACTGAATCCACTTGATTTGGCCACTCTTTAAAAATTCAGAACTTTGTGAAATCAACATACAGTCAAGACCATCTCTCCATGAAACACCGTTTGTCTTGATTAGTTGTGGAAAGAAAATATAGATTTTCATCAGAGCAGTTGGCACTAACTCCGAGGTACAACGCCTGATTGGTACTCGAGGTGTATTTGTATGTAAATTTTCCGGCGGTATTTTTCTCCTCTTTGAATAGGAAGTCGTGGCTGGTTGTTGTATCGCACGCTGACTGTTCCTACAAAACAAAAAATTTAACATTTACTTATAATTTTTAATGAATTAACTTCATTTGACCTGCGGATGATAATCAAGCAATCCTCGCAAGTGAGCTGCAATTTACGCAACTGCAGAAAAGAAGCCTGAAAAAAAAATCAAATGTCTTGTTGAAGCCTGAATTTTTTACAGTCCTCTTCTGTGCATTTGCTTATTGACACATAATTTTTCAGTTTATTTTCTTTGCTATTGTTATCAACTTTCTTATTATCATCGTAATCGTCGTCGAGATTATCATTCCATTAAAAGTTGTTTGTCGGTTAAAGGTCTTGATTGAAATCTTACCCTGTAAATGCTGGCCAGCCGGCAAAATAAAACATATTTATGAAAATTTACAACGAAGCCAAATAAGGATTTATCGGTTGACTCATCACGCAACCAATAGGATAGCGCCCGGCGTGAGAGGGCTGGATTGGAGAGTACTACCGCTCAATCAGATTGCAGGATTTGTAGAATAACGCCCGCTCATGCATAGAGAGCAAAATAATAGTATTTATTATTTTTCAATTTTTATCATTACCATAACCATAAGTTGCTTATGAGTAAGGAGCAAGAAAATAAGGAAAAGACAAGGACTTGAGCACTTATAATAGACCTAAACGATCAACCTACATAGGTTCTGCTTTCCTTTTGTATAAGCAATCTAAACTCACCTCAAAAATTACGTCCGTCCCATTTATGACTTTCAACGAATATCTGATGCTTCCGTCATCAAATTGAATACACTTCTTACTTTTGTACTTCGAGATCTCAAATCCTGCAAGATGATAACCATATCAATAAAAAAAACGAATTTGGAAGGACTTCGACAATCCACTACTGTTATCATCATCGAATCAGCTAGTCGCTGTGGAAGACGACATTGCTTTTCATGCAGATGATTTTTTGTAAATAAATGTAAATATGTAATCCCTAGTGCTTTGTATTCTGCAAATCTGTCATCAATGCCATCATGTACACATGATATATTATACTTCTTAGTGCAAAAAGAAATATTGGAGACTTTTTAAAATTTTCCTGAGCTATATTTGTTGCTATCCTCGAGGGATCGAGCACTCAGGACAGCTTTGGCCGTCAGTTATCGTTCATGGCAGAATTGACATTGGTGTGTTTGGGAAATATCAAAGAAAGTGGCGTAATTTTTGGAGAAAGGCTCAATCACCAAAGCTCTATAACCGTTTCTGAAATGTTGCGTCTGACACTAACTTGGTGAGCAATTTTTAAAGCGAAATCGATACCAACTCCGATCATGTTATCGTCATTTTAACAGAATTTTATATTATCATACATATTATCATATTTAGAATAAGAGAGATAGTAAGTTTTGAGCTCGGTAAAAAAAAAGAGAAAGATGGTTTTTTTGGAACAATTAGGAATTAGGAATCGAACCTCAGACCTTCGGATTCCGTGCTCTAATGCTCTACCACTCTTGTCACGCTATCGACATTGCGGATGCTAGCAGTATGCAGGATGCGTTTCATATGAACTTCGTCAGGAGCCCATTACATATAAGTGATGGGCTCCTGACTTCGTGATACACCGCGCTCACCGTGGAGTCTCTGTGGCTCAGTGGTAGAGCATCGGAGCGCGGAGTCCTAGGGTCTGAGATTCGATTCCTAATGAGGACTCAGAATTTTTTCCTTGTTCCACGCTCGTGACAAGACGAAAAAACATCGGTCTCTATTATCATATTATTCACGCATCTGCTAAAACTGTCATTAACCCAATATTAAGCTCGAGTTTTGTCCCAACACAGCTTGGTCTCAACTGAAATATTTGTGAATGGACCAAATTTTACAACCACTGCATTGGTTTGACATAAAATGAATAAAAATTATCTTAATGGCGAGTGACTCAACATACTCCTCCTAAATGGCACTTTAATGATAATATAGAGATTCCTTGCGAGAGGAGAGATGGGTACGGTTGTGCAAGCTGGCATCTGTGACTTAAGGAAGATTATTCAATGAGCTATGGTAAAAGACCAAGGCGAAGAAACAAACAAGAAAAAAAAAAGTTCTGAATTTGTTTACTCTTCACTGAAAATTTTGCCGGTTATAAAGTACTTGGATGCATATATCTGACTTTAAACCTTCAAATGATACGGAGCCTAAAAGTTAATTGTTTTCTTAGTAATATCGTAGTGTCAAGAGGTACAGCCATTTTAAAACTCCTGAACAATGAAAGCTACTAGAACTAAGCTACAAATCTTTTTCAGTGATAGTGTATATTGTAATCACGTAATACCCACTTGTCTGTTGGTCGAAAGTGCCTCTGCCATTGCAGTAAACCGGACACTGCTTCTTTCCGTTTACAACTTGACATTGGTTTGTGTAAATCTTAATCAGATTTCCTCCACTAACGCATGCCTCTCTTTTAAAAGACGAACCTATGCTTCTTACCAGTGGAATGTGGCTCGATCCTGTTTTTTCGTGTGATAGCACAATTACAAATGCAATCTGGATAGAAAGAAATTGAAAAATCCGCGTTAGAGGACCTCTCGAGTACCTTTTACGGTTCTTGAGTAAGTCGGCCGCAATTAGAAGAACTTGATAATGCATTAGACGCGAAAATTTGACAACAAAAGGTTGTACAGTCACAGTACGATGAGCAACTTTATTCTCTGCTTGACTGACTTCTAAGAGGTTTTTTTCTTTCACCTATTGCTTAACTTGGATTTTGCCCCCCTTTTTCTATTTCATACCGGTTGAGCTTAAAAAACGTATTACAAGAGTGTACAATTCAGTTCATGAAGTATCATGGTAACATCGCCAATTCTGTCAAAGTTTAAGAACCTAAAGTCAAAAAGGAGATACACAAAAACGTCGGCCAGTCTGAGTGAAAACTTCGATTGAAAGATCTGGTGAAAATAAAACTTTTTGCCTATGTTTTTTTCTGTTCTTTTTTTAAAAGTGACTTCAATTTACTTTCCATGACCTGGTAACTGACACCTTGGCATCTTACGTGTCATTTCCCACATCATCGACTTGTTATTAGTTAATATGAAGAAGTTTATAAAAACGTGCTGACAGCTGAGTGTTGAAACGTGACCGCACCATTCCATTTTAGAATGCTCCTCCGCAGAGTTTCGCAGGAGGAGTTGGAAATGTTTAACTGTCATCGGTTTTACCCAATTAGATAATCATTATCTTACCTAATGAATGTAAGTGATGCGAAACTCAATATAGCTGAAAGAACATATATGATTTTTGAGATCGAAACGTTCCGATTGCTTAAAGTGGGAGCAAAGATTAAGAAAGATCTTGTTAGTGGGACATGCGTTCATTTGTAGACTTGAATCTGAAATCACGTCTATGATCTGCTTGGAACTCTATAGCAGTGAAAGAAGAAAAGCCTCCAAAACTAAATAAGATTTGTGGATTTGTTCGAAAAACGAAGCTTTGAATTAGCGAGTCTTTTTCTATTTTATACCAACGTGATTTAAAAGACAATTGTTAAAAAGAATTACAATCTATCTGAATCCAACTTTTATTTAAAAAGCAGCTCAGAGAGGGCTGTTTGGAAAAAAAGGCAAGCGAGCTTCGAGAGTTGGAGGCAACGCTTCAATATTGGTGTGGTGCATCAAATCCCATCCTATCCTTCTCCAGTTGCGTAACGATTATCGCAGACTTTGTTTCCGAAAACACCTAAAGGAGAAAGAATAACTAATTCCCCCTTGACCAATGCTTTTTTTTCTCACCCAGGAGAATTGTTACAACTACATCTGTGATAACGTTTGCGAACTGCTACACCCTTCCATGTTAATCAGTGATTGCAAACGAACTCAGCGCCACGAATAATATTATAATTAGAGATTCAATTTTGTTACTCTATGAAAATAAAAGTCAATAAACCCTTGATTTACTTACTAAAAAAACCTTTTTGATGTCCATTTTTCTCCACCCTCAGGAATCTTTTAGAGATCGTAGTACTCGCAACAAAGCTAAGTTTTGCAATAAAAATTTGAAGGCTCTACACCCGTTTTATACCGTTTGAAGGGCACGTATCTTAGAAGGTCCTAATTGACTTCTCATGCCAAAAAATGTTAAGAATGGATGGTATACTCTACATACAAGACGTGTAGAGTAAAAGGGAAACCTTGAGGATAACTCACAACTAAATCGCGCCTTTCCTAATAAACTTTTATCACGCTCTAACCACTTCCTGAGTGATTTACAGTAGAGCCTCACATATTCACAGCTTCTTTATTCAGTAGTTGAATTTTGCCGAGTTTCAACTGCTTACATTCCGTCATCTGCAAACTTTTTTCTATAGTTCACACAGTTTTCTAAGATAGTGCAGCTGAAAGAACGTGAACAGTTTTTTTGTTTTGTCGTATTCAAATTCAGCTACTTTCCGTGACAACTCCCCGCACACTCCCCGCACTTAGTTTAGAGCGCTTGTTCGTTGTCGGTTGGGGAAATCCGCCAATTGAATAAGTTGGCCAAATTATTTTGTTTGAAAATACGCCGCACTGAAAAACTTAACCAACACAAGAAACGACGGAACGCCTAACTAACCGATTGAATTACAGTCTTAAGCCTGCTCACTCAGAGAGTTACAAATTTTAGTCCAATATGAAGCTTCGGATTGTGGAAATAAATGGAAAGAAGACAGCAAAACAAAACGAAACAAAAAAAAAGCAACAAAAAGAAAAAACCGGAATAAAAAAAAGCAACAATAAAAAAAAAACAAACAAACAAACGCAAAACGCTGGGATAAGCGAGAGATTAACGAAAGTAACACCCACTCTTTTTATTCAATTATGATTCGACTTAAGAGATTAAATTAATTGCCTCTTAAAAATGATTACTTCTAGCCCTGATAACGAAGGTCAAAAGACACGTAACTTGTTCTTAACAATGTTCTGTTCAATAAATTTGCAGTCCTTAAATTTCCACGATAATAGTTATTTTTGAGATCAATAACCTTTTTATCCGCAACGTAACAGCCACGATGAATGATTCGCCGGCATCCATGTTTTTAGGATTCATTCGCCGCTATCCCTGTCGATATGTTATGGTGAGATCGCACGGAAGTTGTTTCCTTTGCCTTGCACGTGCGACAACAAGGATTAGGATCAATAACCCTTATTTCGTTCTCGAGTGGGCGATGAGAGGTTGTGTGGGTGTCATCTAGATAGATAGATAGATAAATAATCTTTATTTTCCCACGGACAATTCATCAGCCATAAAAACATTCAAATATGTAAACATGCATTAAATGGGTAAGATACAATAAATGCTATACTTAAAGTACAAACCTAACTTTAGCTGCTTTCCATAACCCTTAAATAACCCAAGGGACTCTGCTTGTCTTATGTCACGAGGAAGTCTATTCGAAAGAGTGGTGCCACTAGAGCTAAAGCTATATTTGTAATAGTTTGTGCGCGGTAAAGGAACATTAAGCTTATTCTCAGAGTCTCTTAGGTTATACGCAGTTTCTCGCCTTTCATATTTAGAACATAAATAATCTGGAGCTAAACCGTACAGAGACTTATAGACCATTATGGCTCTTTGTATTTGCTGCTGGGAAGCTAGGTTTTTCCATCTCAGGAGCTCAAACAAGTGTCCAGGTGCCTTATTCGTTTTATAGCCCCAATGCCAAAAGCGACTTTCTTTGTTAGTTTATCGACGTGACTGCTCCAATAGAGTTTGTTATCGATGGTCACTCCAAGTAATTTTGTGGTGGTGACTTGGCTAACTTGATTGTCATAAATTGTGATCGTCGGAGAAACTGCGAAAGTACTTAATCTCTACCTTGAACCGATGCGCATAAAATCGGTTTTAGTCATATTTAGATTAAGTTTGTTCGCTCTCAACCGATCTGATCCGACAGACTCAGATATTTCTGTTATTCTCCTTGATTCTCCCCAGCAGAGATATTTTAGTCATGTTTATGTCAACTTTGCCACACACACAGGGAATTTTTTAACTATATTATCTTATTTAAGTGGGTTAATAGCATCTTTGGTTGTAATAAGTACGATATTAGCATCGTTTTGGACTTCAAAACAACGCATATGCCTCGTTGTTCTAAGCAACCATAGACATATTGACATGTGCTTTAAAATCGGTCGAGTGTTAAGCATTTCTGAGCGCTTTCCTGGTCTTTTTCGATCTCCATTTATTAAGAGGAAGGATAATCACTAGAAGTGATATCAGATAAAAGATGTTTCTCCGCCTTGAGATGACAGAGGGTTTTTTCTAGGAGAGATTCCACATTTCCTAAAGGTTGAAAGATGGTGTAATTTCAAATTATTTATTTCATATATTGAAAGAAGTTCTGTAGATGAGACGAAAATCTAAACATTAGAAAAAGTTAACAACTTTACATTTCAAATATTGCATTTATAACTAATGATGCTGTTGGGATAATATTAGGGACCTCAGCTAAACCGGTAAGAGTGTGTGGCGACAGGAACATTTATGAGCAGAAAAATAGTGCTGCGTTTGAAACCTCGTATCTCTCCTAACCGTTCACTGCTGTTCATCCGTTGTCATAATAACCGCAACGTTTGTTGAGTCTGAGAGGTGTAAAACTTATTAAAAATTATTTTCCTTTCTATTCAGCTGCCATCACATGCCATTTTGCAGGCCAGGTCGAAGAAACATTGAGCATGAATTTGGCTCCTATTAAGAGAAACTGTGAAAACCGAACTTAAATTATGCTAAACCATTTTCATTCATTCAGAAAAAGAAAAACTTTAAGCTGTTGACTTTTGGCGTTGTTACAGTGATTGTGATTTAATGCCTCCCTTGGAATTATAGAAAATTTTTGCGCAGGGAGATCCTTGTTATTTTTTTGATTCATGCGGTTTTAAAATTGTTTTTGTTTTCCTCTTCGTGTTTGGTTCACTTTGAGAATTCAATGACTCTGACCTTGCTTTAGCAAACGCTTGCCAAAGCTTCTATACAGCTGGGAATATTAAGAGATAACACCGGTGGTAATTGAGATTTTGAGAAAAATCCTTTAATCTAATCATTGGCATTAGCGACACGGTTTCATTTGCCTTGCCAAGACGGGCACATGGACAGGAGATTAGGTTTAGCAGCGGTATCATGGACTTTTAATTTCGTAAATCGATTCAGTTCTATTTGTCATTTATCTAGATAAGAGGCTAAGCGAAGGCTGTAGCTCAAGTTGTTCCTCGAAGAAACAACTGAGTAAGGAACGTGTATGTGCAAGGAATTCCTTCTGTCAACCACACCTTGTAAAGATTGTCATGTTTGTGAGCTTTGCCATAATCTTAAGCTCTGCGCAAAAACTTTCGCAGTTCCGTGAACGCAATTTCTCACCTTTTCCCCTTGAAGCCTGTTATTAACAAATTAAGTACAAAAGGATCAAAGGAGAAGTAATCCATCCTTTCCCCTTGAAGCCTGTAATCAGCAAATTAAGTACAATAGGAATATAAG